GGCTGTCCCATTTGACACTATTCGCGTTCGCACAGAGCCATATTTAAGAAGAAATTGAAATTTAAAAATGCGTTTTTTTTAAAATGTAATAAATAGGCGAACTAGAATATAATATTAATTTTATAAGTAATGATTTAAAAATAAATTGTGTTTATCTAATAAACTCAGCATACAAATGTAATAAAGCCACATTAAAAATGTGTTTTTAATAATAATTTATTTATATTTTGCCAATCAATAAAATTTAAAAAAAACGCTGCTTATCATTTAAACATTTTTTTTATATATTATGGTCCTGGTCGAGTGGAAAAGTTGACAAAAGGCGACAACCTCTTAATTAAAAACGGACCTAGTTCGGCTACTGGGGGACCACAAGTAATAATAAATCAGAATAGTATAAAACTCCACTCTTATGTATGTACCTCAGAATAACATTCACCTTTTTCATTTCGCCGTAGTCGGTTAAGTTATGTGAACATCTTCCTTTATAACATTCCAGTGTATGACATAACAAACACCATAACACACGTAACGAACTGGAACAAACACACTCGAAAATTCAAAACTAAACAATGAATACCGGTCATAAATCATGAGCTATTTACTTAATAAAACTTGATATACTCTAGTAATTGACTATAAATTTCGAATCAGGAACCTACCAAAACGATATCTTTGTACTTCTCACGTAGAATTCACAGATACACCGCCCGAAAGAATCATGCCCACTTTCCATACATATAAAAACCTGATAATGAAAGTTTATGTATAGTTGTAAGGTATAGTAGAAAAACTACATGTAAGTTTAGAAAATAATGTCATATAGCCTTTTTTTACGATTTAAACGCTACGAAGCCCAAAAAATATTAAAGTCACTTTTTAGGTTAGGTATGGCGTTACCAAATAGGTACTCAAGAAATTATTTTATTATTTTTAAATAATCTGTACTACACAAAAACTAATAAAAATGCTTACTAATTAAATGAAAGCTAAAATAATGTATAAAACTCAGAAACAAAGTTGAGTAAAGTAAAGTAAAAAAAGTAAAGTAAAAAAGTTGAGTAAAGTAGTAAAAAGTGTAAAATGGAACGTCCTAAAAAGGGTAGTTGAGATGCGTTCAAAATAAGCTAATACCTTTACGCTTGACGTAAACTCTGATTTTTCATTCCGTAGAATTCTGACATTTCGTAAGTGTTGCTACTAAAAAAGTTCTCCACCGAAAAAGAGACAAATTTGAACCATTTGAGGGCAATAAATAATAAAATGCTACGTATTTTTTATGTTTCACCTACAAAAAGGTAAATCTAAATATTTACTTATACAAGTCACCTAATACAAAAATAACAAATATTTCAATATCACGAACAATATATCTAATTAACTTTAATTACTTAATATTTTATTCTTTAGCTGGCATCACTGTCTACTAATTCCAGGTTTAAAAAACCTTTTAAAAAAATGTTAGCTGTCACGTCGCGTCTGTCACATTGATTGATTTTCATTCGACTTCTTTGAATGCTCGAATGCGCATGTGTTCTCGGTGTTTGCTGCTATTTGTTGTTATTATCTTGTTATATTTGTTAAGTTTCTGTTATTCTGTTAAGTTTTTTCTTGTTGACCTTTCGTTTTGTGATCGTTTGTTGATTTTTATAAACGTTATGGAGCCACAACCTGGCCCTTCCCGGGAAGCAGCCCCATCTGACAGAGCACAAGGCTTAGACTTTCTTTCTCCCAGAAAGAAGCGTCCTCGTGGTGCTTTTACGCCCAACGAAAAGACCATAATTCTAAATATTTACAAATATAATATAGAAAATTGGCCGCAAACAACTGATTGGAGTGCAACGGAATGTGCTAAAAAGACTTCTGAGATGACTGGCGTGGGTCTGTCAAGTGTCTATAAAATTACCAAAGAATATAAAGACACAAAAGAATTTCAAAAGCCGAAAAAGAGTGGACCTCAACTATCTTTCATACAAAAATTTGACGAATTCACTTTCGCCGCAACTCGACGAAAGGTTCACGCGTTTTTCTACAGGAACGAGATTCCGACTATTGAAAAGGTAAAGTTATTGCTAATTCTTTAACACCTCGTTGCTGACATCCCCCATTGTTTTAAAACTATACTTTAACCTGTGTTGCCTGTCTACATTTTAACTGTAATGTAAATGCTTATTTCAGATTCACCAAGAGATAACTGGTGATCCAGACATGCCTGTTATGTCGAAATCAACATTAAGAAAAGTATTGAAGCATTTAAATTTTAAATACACAAGTCGCAAACGTCGAAGTGCGCTAACAGATCGCAAGGAGATAGTACTATGGCGTCAAAAATACTTGCACCAAATTAAACAATATAGAAGAGAAGGCAGGCTTATATATTACCAGGATGAAACGTGGGTAAACGAAGGCAAGTATTGAATTATGTGGTAATTAACTTTTTATAACCTATCTTTTCTTCAAAGTATTAGTCGGAAATCGAATTCTGTACTTATGTAATACTTAAATTAACTTTGTTAATAAATTTTTGTTACCAAAATGAATAAATAAATAAAGAAATCCATGTTTACAGGTAATATTTTTCAATTTATATGCATATATAACTGTCCTCATGTATAAGTGAAATATTAAATATATTTTTATTTTCAGGACATACCGTCAATAAAGTGTGGTGTGATACCAACATTCAATCTTCACGACAAGCTTTCCTCGATGGCTTGACAACAGGGCTTAAGGCACCAACAGGCAAAGGGGGGCGACTTATAGTTAGCCATATAGGGAGCGAAGAAGGATTTTTGGAAGATGGTTTATTAGTTTTTTGAGGCAAAAAAAGGCTTGGCAGATTACCACAAGGAGATGACTGGGGAAGTATTTGAGGAGTGGTTCACAAAAATACTTCCAAAATTAAAACCAAACTCGGTAGTAGTGTTGGATAATGCTCCCTATCATTCGAGGAAGGTCGAAAAAGTACCAACGAGTGCATGGAGAAAAGGCGATATCCAAGCGTGGTTGACTTCAAAAAATTTAAATTTTGAAGAAAAAATGCTAAAAGTTAATTTATTGGAAATTGTGGGTCAGGAGAAATACAAATATCAACAGTGTATTGTAGACGAGATGGCCACAGCACAAGGCATTACTGTGCTTAGACTGCCCCCATATCATTGTGAGCTCAACCCTATTGAATTGGTGTGGGCTCAAGTGAAGGGGCATGTCGCAAGACACAACAGAAGTTTTAAAATGGCGGAAGTTAAAAAACTATTACTGGAAAGTATAAGTAGTATTACTCCTGATAAATGGCAAGAATGTATCAGCCATACAATCAAAGAAGAAGATAAGATGTGCACTCTCGACGATTTCATTGACACAGTCGCAGACTCTTTAATAATTCATGTCAGCGATGATGACGATGATGAAGATAGTGATATAAGTATTAATGATGACTAAAGATTTTAATAAAAATATGTTATTTTTACTTGTGCATTTTTTACTGTTTGTAATGAAAAGGGACGTAATTATCACTCGCCGTAAAACCATGTAGAGTACCGCACTTAATAAAATGGATACATTTACTAACAAATAAAATGTATGTATAGACTCAGATGTTCAGACACGTATTGAAATTGAAAAATGTGCCCGGCCAAAAAGGTTTGTAATCTCTGACATGTCAAAAAATGATAGCTGTCAGAATTCTACGGAATGAAAAAATCAGAGTTTAGAATAAGCTTAAAGAAATATTAAAAAAATATTTTTTTCCTGCGTTTCTTTTAAAATTTTGATAAGCGTTATTAACTTACAATCCAATTAGCTGAATTTTAAGATTTATTTCATTTATATACATCGTCAGGTGAAAAATGGGCATTTTTCTTTGTGCTCTAAATTATGGAATTTACAATTGTTTACGGTTACGACTACAAATGAAAAAATATGTCAAAATTAACATTTAACAGTAAGCCTACGACGTTGCCTCATCGAAATTAGGTAAATAATGTTGTTTAACGTTGAAAACAAAAAGTCTACCCCATATCGAATCGGAGTACACTGGATAACTTTTGGAGACACAAATTTGAATAAGATTTTTTTCCACTAGCATTGTATTATTGCAATAACTTATACATTTTATACACGGCATCTTTATTGTTTTCATAGTAAACTACAATTTTAAAACCATAATGCTATATTATTTTATTTGTTGCATTAAAATCCGTTTGACAACACAGCGAATCGGGTTAGTAGTAGTGATTAACTGATAATACGACGTAATTGCTTGTTTGTGTGCTCCCGGCGTCGCCGAATCTCTTACAAAATAAGGTTGACAGCCATTCAAGCCAGACAAACATTCTATTGTGTATTATAGTATTCTATGCCCCTACCATTACCAGTAACCTTCCACTATTGGTAGGAATTCGTATGGATTTTGTATTGAAGTCACACAGCAATTGAACATTTAGAAGTTAGGCTTGGCAAAAGTGGATAGGATTTGTGATACAAATACCTGAAGTCAGCCTCCACGACTGCGATTCAATGTACATTTACTGTCCATGTAGTGTTAATAGATCTTAAAGTCACTTAGATCATCTTGCTCAGACTCTCCAACAGATATAGGATAGATATAGAAAGTATTTTTTTTAAATAATACTGACACATACAGAGAAGTTAGTTAGGCCATTGTTCAGCATTGGTCTTGTAAAGGACTGTAATGATGCATATGATGATGGTACAGAAAATCGGTTATATACCCCAATCGAAATCGCACTAGACGAGATCATCGTTTTCATAAAGAGTTAAAAACTTCTTTCTATTTTCGTTATTGGCCCGTAAAGTTTCACTACTAGACATAGGCCTCTTCCGATATAGGGAGAATTAACCCAAAATCGTCACTTTCGAAAATTGACGATGACAGTGTCAGACGTTTCGCACTTCTGACACACGAGTTCCCCCTGCGAGTCTCTCAATTATGTCTATATGTTTTTAATTATTGTTAAATAAACATAATGTAATTTTAGGGTGACTCTGGCGGACCAGCACAAGTCCAAGATGGCTGCGTTTGGCGCGTTGTGGCTGTCACATCACTTGGTCGTTCATGTGGCGCTCCTAATACTCCCGCTCTCTACGCAATAGTGCAACGAGCGTTTGTCTCTGCTGTTATATACGGTGGACAAACAACTCCAATATACAACAGACAAACATCAAGTAGTAATAATAAAGGCACGATAAGCAACAACAATTATCAAAACAACGCAAACAATAATCAACAATATAGCGGCAACGACAACAGACGCACGACAGAAAAACCGGGCTTCGCAACTTATACCAACAATCAAAATAACAATAAACAATCAATAAACAATAATTTTCAAAGCACCACCAACAACAATCGACAAAATAGCGGTAGTAACAACAGATACACAACAGCTAGCCCGAACTACAACATTAATAACAAAAATCAAAACAACAATAACTACGGAGTGGTAACCAGCAACAATAATAGGTATAGTGGCAGTGAAATTGTATACACAACAGAAAGACCAAACTTCGGAATTAACAACTTCAACAACAATAACAATGGAGGAGTAATAAACTACAACAATCAACGTGGTAGTGATAATAGACAAACAACAGAAATTAATAGGTACGAATCGAACATCAACAATCAAAATAACAACAGGTATCCGAATCAACAAAATAATCGAGACGATTACAATTATAACGTACAAAATAACAGCGGCGCTGATAACAAAAGATACAACACACCGAGACCTGGTTACAATCAACAAACTTATAACAACAACTATAGTCCGTCAAGAAACGATTACAACAATTACAACAACAATTATCAACCTTACGGCAACCAACAATATTTCAACAGTCAACCATTGTGGTGGACGTAATTGACAGAAATTGTACCTTGTAATTGATAGTATTCTATAAGGCTTAATTTTGAATAAACTTATGATTACAACGAAATCTGTGACATAGATTTAATTTAACGTCAATATTTTTAATAAAAAAATTAAACCTTGAAAATTTTATCGGAATATTATACGGTATCTCTCTATTTTATATTTACACATGTTTTTTTTAGCTTAACTTGTATATAAGGTTCTTTGGCAATAACCGCCCATATTTGCATAAAAGGTTCAGAATAAGTAAAGTAAAATTAATTTAAAAAATCTGAAACATTGTGTCCCTCTTAAACCTTAAATTCAAAATCCTTGGTAATTCATTATTTTAAATGATTTTACTGCGCACGCTAAGATTCGTGAGGGTCGATCGATAGAGCAAAACCGTTGTTGTCCATAAATCACATTCTTGGATAATTTCAAATAAATATAGAAGCCTTATTTACTCGTATTTTCAAAAACTACAGAAACGATAATATATTATTATTTATGTTTTTGAACTTAAGTTTAAAATTTGGTGACTTTTTGAAAAATAACCCTGTATATGTATGTAGGTATCTATAAGTGTGATAGAATTATTCATTCAGTTCTCATTCACTTCCGTATGTTCAACTATCCGAAATTTCGCACTCATTAAGACCGATTTGATTAATGCATTAATATTGAATTAGTCTGTGAATTGGACATTAGATAAAAACAAATACATAGACTATAAAAATAAATAAATTGTGTGCCAGAATAGGTGACCCGTTTAAAACAATAACTTTTCCCAAAATTCTAGATTTCATGAACTGTCATGAACTCTTCTTCTATAAATGACGAGTATTGTAAAAAAACTCACTTCTCCAAATCATGCCATGGGCGTCGTAAGAGGTGACAGAGGGATTCTGATTGAGGAATTGGGCAGCACCATCTTCCAGATAACCGCTCAAAATAATAAAAATTGGAGGTTGGTAACCCATTCGTCAAGTGTGGTAGCTATGAAAAATATCTCCCTTTTTATGGGGAGGCATATCTTCAGCAGTGAACATTTGATATATAAAGAATGAATGATTGGAACTTTAGGACATTTAATTACATGCTTATCCTTTATTTTAATATCTAAGATATGTTAGTACTACCTACCTCTAAGTTTTAGTAATTACCTTTAGTATATACTACAACATTAGTAAATACACTTAAATAATGTAATAATATATAATATAATGAATAAATTTGTATATACGTACATAGAGAATTTGTTTAATTTTAAATAAATCCTCTGTTTTTAAGCTGTCAATCCCAATGTATTTTCTATCCAGGACATGGAGTGTAGATGTAAAGAGAACTGTCTGTGTGTATTAAAAAGTGTCCGTAGGAAAGCGTTAAATAAGAGTGGTGCCACTGTAACTAGCCCCTCAATCCTCTTCAAATTCCCATGCAGTCGCATGCGTCCGTCAAAGATCGAGCAGTCGCGTGCGACCGCATCCACCCACAGCACTTTAAACCATTAAAACTTATATGAAAGACTACTTTTCTATAAAGAAGTTTGGCATTATAGAATCTATATAAAATTCTCTATCCTATGGTCTAAACAAAAGTCAGTTACTATATGTCACTGACCTCTATATTTACAAGTGTATATATAGAGGTCAGTGCTATATGTATTTTATTTTTATTCTCCTGTCAATTTACGACATTTGCCGACCATACGAAAATGCCGCAACTTTACGGTAGATTAAAAATAAAAATGCATAGAGTAACTGACTTTTGTTTAGACTTTAGAATAGAGAATTTCGTATAGATTCTATAATGCCAAAGTTCTTTAAAGAAAAATTGTCTATAAATATTAACGCACTACACAGTCTAAATTTTAAAGTACTTTTATATTTTTATTGCACAGACTTTCACCATAACTCTTTTTACAATAATTGTTTTATTGCATTCAAAATTTTTATTTTCAAAATCACTCACAACGCAGTTTACGGTGATGTAGTTACTCGAGCGCTGTTGTGGAGAGTTTTTGAACTGTTATTTACTGCTTACAGAAGGACATATTTTCAACTATTCTACTATGGGGGATTGTCCTCCTTAACTCTATACTCCATGATCCAGGAGCTACACGTGTCTTCCAAATTGATAGGTTGACGGTTTGCTTGGTTGTATGGAGTGTAAAAGTAAGGAATACCAACTCCCGTAGTAGAATAGTTGCAAAAGTGGTCACCTGTAAGCAGTAAATAAGAGCTAAAAAACTCTCCACAACAGCGCTGGAATAGCTACTGGGATGAAATAAACTTAGCAGTTGTCGACAGTTTGAAGTGTGCTGCTAAACTGCTCGGTAGCTCTAAAATCTAAAATAATTTTATTTGGTAAATATAACCTCGAAAAAGTCATCTATCCCACTAATATTTTTCGGCATGTTCTTTAAAATTTAGCACGTAGCTATAGTGGCGCCACGCTTATTTAACGGTTTTCTATGGACATTTTTTAATACACAGTCTGTACTCCTTACTTCTACACTCCATAGGTTAATGTTTATTTTTGTACTATTAGTTATCATTTATATTGTCTGGATTAAAAACAAATAAACCAAAATATTACTATTAATAAAAGTAGAGAAATTAAAAAAGAAAAAGTAGAAAATTAAAGTTTACGTGGTAGAGCCACGCTGCATATTATATTGTGGTTGCAGCTCGAATGGATTGGCTCGACCGGGGTAGGACCACGCTTTCTCAGAATACCAGCGTAAAATAGCAGCTATTAACGCTGCTGTATTTCGTATGGTGAGTGTAGAGAACCGGAGACCCTTTTTAGTGGAAACGAGGTATTCCGTCTCAGTCCTCAGGGCTTGCAACGCATCTCCATTTTGATTCTTAATTAAAGATAAATGTGGATGTCTGTGTGTCACAGGATCCACTTACCATCAAGTGGACTGTATGCTCGCTTGTCACCCTTATTCTATAAAAAAATTAAAAAGAGTGAAAAATGTGCAAATAAAATAAAAACACTGAGGCATTGTTATTGTGTATTAATATAATACTCTAGAAACTGATAATTTTATTTAAAACTTTTTTTAATAAAAAAAATAAAAAAAACTTCCTCAGTGTCTACTGGCGACATCTGATGAGCGTAAGATTATTATCTCTCATTGGTCGGTTGGTTAATGGGTTGGTGTGTTGGATTATTGGCAATCGTAGTACCAATATCACGTGGTCTAGTGGAGCGTAGAACTGCTACAACACGGATCCCAAGCGTTATCCAACTTGGTAGCATGTACCGTAATCGCCAAACTTGGCTGGTTGATTGGTAAGCACAGTACTAGTGAGCCAGTGGAGCACCAAACTACTATAACAAGGATCCTGTGTTGAGTCCCAGCTGTAGTCAATACCGTTTTTTAAATAAAATACTAGTTTTTATTGTAGAACAAAGGTGACAAATGAGCACAAAGTCCACCTCATGGCAAGTACATGCTGTAACCCACAGACACCTACACCTATCCTCGATTAAGAATCAAATTGCAGATGCCAAGATGGCTTCGCCTCCAGCAAAAAGGGTCTCCGGTTCTCTACACTAATTATAAGAAACACAGCAACGATATGCTATTTTACGCTGGTGTTATGTGGTCCTACCCTGGTCGTAAGCCGACCCATTCGTACTATAGCTATAATACAGCGACAGCATGACTCTACCACGTAGTTATGCTATAACATGACTAATACTTCTGTTAACCACTCCATGTAGGCATAAAATGCTTGTGTTGGAAGTGATTCACGACATTAACCGAAAGGCGGTTTTAAGCTCACGATATTCAAAGTTTTTTTTAATAGTTTTTTTGTTTGTAGCAACCCTGAAATATATTATGGTTGTACCACGGGGCGGTATGACCTGGGAAGGATCACGCTATCAAAGAACACCAACAAGAAATAGCTTAATGTTGTACTTGTTGTATGGAGAACCGGAAATTCTTCTTACTGGTAACAAGGCATTCTATTTAGTTTTCAGTGGTAAAAACATATCTACATTTTAATTCTTAATGGAAGATAGATGTATGTGTTGTGGACAGTATCCACTTACTATCTGATGGACTGAGTGGTCGTTTGTCACCCTTATTCTACAAAAGAAGAATTTGCAGACTACTGTCACCTATCAACTACCTCGTTACGGGTGACGAGACCCACCAAGAAGTTCACATCAGCAGAATATTCAGATTGCATACAATAGGAAATGCTGAGTATGCTGAGAAACCATCGAGCTTCTGTGTAGGCTCTCACGCACTTTTGTTTTAAGAATATAATTTTAAGTTAGTCTTAAGCCAGTTCTTGTAGCGATTAAACATCTTTTCATTAATAAATTAGTATTTTTAAAACGTCCTCCGGCCCCTGCATAACTTGACTACCTATCAATAATCTTTATTACATACCATACAGAAAACAAATAATATTTTTTGGGGCATGGTCTGTTATGCACAAAACAAAGTAAAGTTAAGATTTTATATTTTTTAAAGTACCGCTTGCAATTTCAGCAAAAATCGTGTAATTTTACTTTCGTATTATAGTTATAGTGATGCTGTCGTCTGCTGCTGCTGCTGTTGTGGGCTGAGGTTCTGTGCATTTTGATACATTAATGTATAATTTAAATAGTAGAAGACCCAGTACTCTCTCCTGCTGAACTCCAAAACTTCTGATTTGGCAAAAAGACATGAGCTAGCAGCACTGAAACTGAAATGAAATGTCAAATTTTGACAAGTCAACTGAACTGTCGAAAATCTGTCATAGATAAATAAATATGTAGAAATTCTGTTCAAAACTCGAAATCTAGAAATCAAGTGTTTATTGGGCACAGATTTTAAAAGTAAAGTTTTCTTTCTTTAAAAACCAAATAACCAATATTGACAAAGTATTTTACCTAAATTAATAAAACTCCTAGAAATACACTAAAACATATTATCTGTTCACCGATTGAAATTACAAATCTGTTCTAGACTTTGTTGTGCATTTGACGAAGTAAAATGAGTACTAACATACCGGAAAAATCAAATTGCGTTTTTTGCAATATTGGTAATAAATTAGAAAATACAGAAATTTTATACGAGGACGATGAAGTTTGCGTGTTCCGAGATATAAAGCCAGCGAGCGACTATCACATATTAACCATTCCAAAGAGACACATAGATGATGCAAAGTCGTTGACTCCCGCTGATAAGGACCTGGGTAAACAATTTGGTTTCAATTTCATTCATGTCCAGAGTTGTATTAACACATAGCATAGTCGCCCGTTTGCCGGCCATATACTGTTAATTGTAACCACTTATTTTGCAAATAAAGTATATTTCAATTTATAATAAAGTTCGATTGTGAAATAATTGCTAAACATAATGCGTGAATGAGAAACGTGCTGAGATTCTTGAGATTGCTTGAGATTTTTAATCAAGTTTAAAAAATTATATGGGGCTCACTTTAGATGCTCTAATTCTTTATATAAAGTATAATTTTTTTATTTTGTGCACTTAAATACTAGCATATTATAATAATAATAATATAACTAAATAATGGCATAGGTACTTAATTTTTTTTTTCGTTTAATAACTTATGCCCTTTGTAATCTTGTGCCCCTAGGCAAGTACTTGGTTGGCAATATTCAATAAATGAAGTGTTAACCTTAACCACCTACTATTTAGTGGGGTTTAGGAATATCCACTACCCTATATCGTCCAGTAGGTGTCGTAAGACGTGACAGTGGGATATTAAGACAGAAGATGGGCTTCTCTCTGATCACAACAACTCAAAATAATTAAAAACTGCTTAAAATAATAAAAAAGCATGGCAACTATAGTAAACCCTCCTGATGTAGCTATCTATGAGGGAGGCCTATGTTGAGCAGTGGACTTTTGTAGGCTGTAATGGAGTGATGTATAGAAGATACATGGTAGTTCCTACATGGTAGAGCCATGCTGCAGTTATATTAGTAGTATAGTTGTAACACAAATGGGTCGGCTCGGCCAGGGAAGGACCATGCTCTCACAGAATACCAGCGTAAAATAGTAGCTTCATGCTACTGTGTTTCATATGGTGAGTGTAGAGAACCGGAAACCCTTTTTACTGGAAATGAGGCATTCCATCTTAGTCCTCATGGGTGACAACGCATCTGCATTTTGATTCGTAATCGAGGATACATGCAGGTGTCTATGGGCCACAGCAACTACTTACCATCAGATGGATTGTGTGCTCGTTTGTCACCCTATACTATAAAAAAAAGGATAATCCACCAGGAGCACATGATTCACTGAGATGTGAAATTATTAAATTAACATGCACAACAGTAACATTACAACTATGGCAAAGCCCTCCTCTCCAGTCACTAATATTTGTAGGATGTACCTACATCTCAGGGTGATTATCCTTTTTTTGACACCTTTTCCACTCGCATCTTTTAATATATTTGTGCATCAATATGTTAAGCCTTAACAGATTTTTATGGCTCAGTGTCGTATTTGTGATTTGTGCATTCTATGGTGAAGGCCTATGAAACAGCAGTGAACTTGTAATGGGCTGTAATGATGATGATTTATTATGACCAAGATACCAGACATTGACATTTTCAAAGACTCTGCCTGATGCTTCAAAAAAAAATTGACCAATTTTTTTTCACCCCTTCAACACACACTCATTCCTTAGTTAGTTTTTCTTAATATAAGTTATTTTGTTTTCAGTACCATTATAAGATATAAGCTACACATTACGGTAAATGTTGTGTATTTGCAAACATATTTAACCTTATACATATGTTATCATGTTGTTGTTAATGTTTCATGTGTTTTGCTGTTGGTATACCTTATAAATAAATAAATGATGATGTTTAGTTTTTAACTCGCCAAAATAGGGTTTTATAAATTTGCAGTTAGAATCTGTATATCTGTGTGCCTGTGTGTGGCGTCATAGCTCCTGAACAGATGAACTGATTTTGATTAAGTTTTTTACGTTATAAAGGTGTCTTAATCATGAATGTTCTTAGTTACGTTCCAATAAAAATCTGTTAAGCGATTTGACTATCATAAAACTGTTTTTTTTTTTCAAATCAAAATGCAGATGTGTTTTCACCCATGAAGACTAAGATGAAATGCCTCGTTTCCAGTAAAAAGGCTCACCGGTTCTCTACACTCACCATACGAAATACAGCAGCATTAAGCTACTATTTCACGCTGGTATTCTGTGAGAGTGTAGTCCTTCCCCCGATCGAGCTGACCCATGTCTAGTGCTACAACTATACTACTAATATAACTGCAGCATGGCTCTACCACTCTTTGTTCGGGGTGTTTTTAAATTTTTAAATTTAAATTATTATTGTAGTACTCTACTTGTAAAACTCTCAGATAAAAATAGTGAACTATGTTTATGAAAAACTGCTTTTTCACATGAATATTCTGCTATTTGATCAGCAGACAAATCTCACAGACTTGTAATAGAAATTAGATTTAGGTACTAGTGTTAGGATATTGACCCGTTGCCCACTATGCTACTAGCAAAAACTATTATAGAGTAATGTAAAGTGGTAGAGCCACACTGCAGCTATATTATGGATGTAGCGCAAATGAGTAAGCTCGACCAGGGAAGATCCACATTCTTACACAATACAAGCATAAGATAGCAGCTTAATGCTGCTGTATTTTGTATTGTTGGGCGCCTAAGTTGACATCTGGCACTAGCGCCATCTAGTGTCGGGTAACGGAGCAAGGGGAGCTTTCCAGAAAATGACATCACTTATCTTTCAACCGACAGCGCCATCTGTTGTCGAAACGAAGAACTAAGCTTCTGGAAGCTGACTCTCGAACTTTCGGCGCTTTGTCGATTGGTGCGCGTATTTACTTGAATGTTCTGGATGATTCGGTACTAATGTGTATTTATAGGCGCTGCAAGGTGCGATCGGGGAAGTATTGAATTTGGCGAGACAAGCGAAGCTTCGGAGCGGAATAAAGTGAATTAGTGTGCTTAATTATTGGTGTTTTAAGTTTTAATTTGTGTAAAGAAAATTAAAGTGTTAATTTAGGTAATTCTATCGGCAATTTTCATTGTCACGAACCTCAAGCTCGTAACAATTGGTGTCAGAAGTGGGATGAAATCATACCGATTTTACCTAAGGAGGAAACGGAGGGTGTCCGTAGCCTAAGTCAACGCCAGCAGGAGACGGACCAAAGAAGATTTGGTGGTGCAACGCCGCAGACGTCGGAGGGCCAGCCGCCGGCTGCAGGCCCGTCAGTAGCTCCTACATCTGCAGCCCCTGATTTAGGTGCTCTGATGGTGATGCTGCAGGAACAGGCTCGCCGACAGGAGGAACAGGTCCGTCAGTTGAAAGAGCAGCTGCAGAGTGGACAGGAGGAACAGATCCGTCAGTTGAAAGAGCAGCTGCAGAGCGGACAAGAGGAACAGGCCCGCCGACAGGAGGAACAGATGCTCCTCATGAAGGACCTTCACGCTACCTTTGGGAAAGAGATAAGGGAGGTGAAGGATAGGGTTGCTCAACATGACAACCGCCTGTCGGAAGCTGAGACCCGAATCGAAGAACATGAAACCCGAATCAACCATGTGAACAATCGGGTTGACAACGTGATGGCTGACGTGAAGAAAACGCTGAACGACCTCAAACTTGGGGATGGAACTACAGCTCCAGTAGTAGCTACAGCACCTTCGCTACGTGGATTCAAAGTGCCGCCGTTCGACGGGACTTCTTCCTGGTCGGCCCACAAAATCCAGTTTGAAGCTGTTATGAAGGCGAATGGCTGGAATAAAAGTCAGGCCATGACTGCTCTCACACTAGGCCTGCGCGACCAGGCCTTAACAGTTCTGGAAGCTCTCGGAGAGGAAGTGACTTATGAGCAACTCCTTGAGGCACTGGAGTCGAGATATGGCGACGCTCACCTGGAACACGTCTTTCGTGCGCAGCTTAAAGATCGCGTTCAGCGCATCAACGAAAACCGGCAGCAGTGGGCTCTAGAGGTGGAGAAGCTGTTGCGAAAAGCATACCAGTCTGTACCTGCGCTCATTGAAGGGAACCTGGTGCAGACATTCATCGACGGCATCCGCGACCTTGAAGTCAGAGCTGCTGTGAGGCTGGGGCACCACGAGACGCTTAAGGACGCCTTGGCCCATGCACTGGAGGTGGAAGCCGTGCGGCAGGACCTTCGCTCCCATCGCGTCAGGGAGGTTGCAGCAGCTACAGTTCGCGACTGCAACAAAGGATACAGCCCTAGGTGCTATGGCTGTGGGGAAAAGGGCCATCTACGATCCAGCTGCTCTAAGCGAACTGTAGAAAGGGAAGTTGATCGATCTCGAGGGTAGTGCAGCTAACGGCACCGTCTGGCGGTGGCAGCAACATCATTCCCCTCACGCTAGGGAGGTTGCAGCAGTTCGCGACCACAATAAAGGATACAGCCCTAGGTGCTATGGCTGTGGGGAAAGAGGCCATCTTCGATCCAGCTGCCCTAAGCGAACCCTAGAAAGGGAAGGTGAACGATCTCAGAAGGGAAGTGCTGCTAACATCACCGCCCAGCAGCAGCCGGGATACGACTTTACTATCAGACATCGCAGCGGGAAATCTCATGGCAACGCAGATGCATTGTCAAGAAGACCTTGTCCTGAAGATTGGAAACATTGTACTAGGCAAGAGAGTAAGGAAGTGGTATCCGTGAGGATGCTCAGGACAGACCACCTCAGCAACGAGTGGAAGGATAGCCTACGTCATGCACAGCAGGAAGATCCGGACATCAAGCCGATTCTGGAATGGATGAAGGACCGTGCTACCAAGCCTAAGTGGAGCGACGTCTCAGCGATGAGTTCAATCACGAAAAGCTATTGGGCCCAGTGGGACGGTTTGCTGATTCAGGATGGAGTCCTGTGCCGTAAATGGGACAATGGTCGAGGAGACAGCTGTCGTATGCAAATGGTTGTCCCTAAGGCTAAAGTGCCGAATGTTCTACAGCTGTGCCATAATGGTCGTTCAAGAGTCCATCTGGGAGTTAAACGAATTCTGCTGAAGGTCCGAGAACAGTTTTACTGGGTCCATTATCGTGACGATGTCGAGGCTTGGTGTCGTACATGTACAAGTTGTGCGGCCGTGAGGGGACCTCAGACACGTAGTAGAGGAGCACCGAAATTGTACAATGTTGGTGCACCATGGGATAGGACAGCCCTTGACATTGCGGAGCCGTTACAGAAAGGCGCAAAAGGGACTTCTAAGATCGTCCATGTGGATCGCCTGGCGCGTTATTATGGGGCCGATAATGCTCGGGACGAGCATGTCTTAGGAGGGGGCAGTGTTGCGCGCCTAAGTTGACATCTGGCACTAGCGCCACCTAGTGTCGGGTAACGGAGCAAGGGAATAGCTTTCCAGAAAATGACATCAATTATCTTTCAACCGACAACGCCATCTGTTGTCGAAACGAAGAACTAAGCTTCTGGAAGCTGACTCTCGAACTTTCGGCGCTTTGTCGATTGGTACGCGTATTTACTTGAATGTTCTTGATGATTCGGTACTAATGTTTATTTATAGGCGCTCCAAGGTGCGATCGGGGAAGTATTGAATTTGGCGAGACAAGCGAAGCTTCGGAGCGGAATAAAGTGAATTAGTGTGCTTAATTATTGGTGTTTTAAGTTTTAATTTGTGTAAAGAAAATTAAAGTGTTAATTTAGGTAATTCTATCGGCAATTTTCATTGTCACGAACCTCAAGCTCGTAACAGTATGGTGAGTGTAGAGATCCGGAGACCCTTTTTACTGCTAATGAGGTATACCATCTTAGTTCTCTAGGGTGAAAACGTATCTACATTTAGATTACAGATAGATGTATGTGTCTATAGGCCACTGAATCCACTTATATTTGTGTGAACTGTGTGCTTATTTATCTCCCTTATTCTATAAAAAAAACTACCGCTCTTTCCAGCAGTATATTGTACATTGTATGTTTTAACTGCTATTGGTTTTCATACTTCATCAATTTTGGTCTTACCTTCTTCTTTCTATTTGCTTCTGACTACTTACTGTGTTCTATGAGGGCTTTATAATCTGAAGTTGTTACTGAGAAATATTCCTTTTATATTTCAATAATTTTTGAGAGTAATTTCTAACAATATGTACTGTAGTGGAGTAGATAGGTATATAGGAGAGGCATTCCATCTTGGTCCTCGTGGGATGACAAATCATTTATAGCCCTCTTTGTTTGAAGTTGAGTACAGGTGTCCATGTAGTGCAGTAGCCACTTACCGTCAGATGGATTAAAGGAACGCTATGTAGTCTTGACATAAGAAAATCCATCTCTTTTTTTGTTAACTAGCTTTACGGCTCTGGTTTCTAGCCCTTCTGAGCCTATCACTTCTTTTGGAATCTTGGTTTTTATAATATTTTTCTTCACAATATGCTGATGCGTCACATTGCGAAGTCGTTGAGAGATTTTGACGACAGCTCAACATAGCGGACAGTTAATGACGACAGCCACTGAAGTTCATAAGGCGTCCAAGCGATCAAAATAACTTGAGGTTTATATCGACATCAAAGCACTTGTTTCGTCGTTTTATCTTATAGTTCACACGCGCGGACACTTAATTCACAAAATCGCATCACTTTTACGAATCAAAATCCACTTCAAACCATTATTCAAGTGACAAAACAGGAGCGACAATCCGTCTACGGCCAAGTTCCCACCAAAACTCCAGAAAATCCACTACTTCATATCTTCCATGGAGTATAGAGGCAAGGAAGACCGCCTCTGTATATTTATGTGTCCGTAGAAAAGCGTTAAAGAAAAGGTGGCGCCACTGTAACTAGAGGGTAAATTTTAAAGAACTTTTTATGACACAAACTTTCACCATAATTCTTTTATTTTATTGTTTTCAAAATTTTTATTTTCAAAATCACTCAACGTGTTTCACGGCGACTTTTTCTAGGTTATATTTGCTAAATTATTTTAGGTAATGTTAGTAGTTGAGGTTTTAAATACTGCAGTTTCATCAACTAATCTAGTCACCGCCAATATTACCTCAAATCAGCACACTTCACTCAGTTGACAACTGCTAAGTTCATTTCATACCCTCTAGCTACTTCAGTGCTGTTGTGGAGAGTTACACGGAGAGTTTGAACTGTTTTTTACTGCTTATAGATGGACACTTTTTCAACTATTCTCCACGTGAGACGATTCTCCTTACCTCTACACTCAATGGTATCTTCCCATGGTTGTTGTAGAAGAGCCGCAGATGCAAACTAAAACAGGATGAACTAACACAAAGTAATAAGTTGCAGACTGTGGTTGGCATCCTGCGTACCAAGCATGGCGACTATAGCCAAATCCCTCCCTCTTAAGAAATTTAAGGGGTAGGCCTATGTTCAGCAGTGGACTTTTATAGACTGGAAAGGATGAATGAAATGGTGGTCTTTACCAGGCCGAGCTGATCCATTCTTGCTGCAACCATAATACAGCTGCAGTGTGGCTCTACTACGTAAAAAGTCTTTTTCTTCTGGCAGATATCCCCATTATATACATTCAATTTTATATGTATTACAATTTTTGTATGTAGTACAATTTTTATACGTGGTAGAGCCACGCTGCGGCTATATTATGGTTGTAGCACGAATGGGTCGGCTCGACCGGGGAAGGACCACGCTCTCACAGAATACCAGCGTGAAATAGCAGCTTAATACTGCTGTGTTTCGTATGGTGAATGTAGGGATCCGGAGACCCTTTCTATTGGAAATGATGCATTCTATCTTACCCCTCAGGGGTGATAATGCATCTACGTTTTGATTTTAATCGAGGATAAATGTAGATGTCTGAGCCACAGCATCCACTTACCATCGGGTGGACTGTGTGCTCGTTTGTCACCCTAATTCTATAAAAAAAAAAAAAGAATGGGCCTCCATTATGTTTAACAGTGGACTTTTTTTGAGGGGCTGTAACAAACAAATTAATATTTTTCCAGTAAACAAAATGATGTCCGTCGCAAAAGAACTACTTGTAAAAAACAACCTGTCGGTGGAAGATGCAAGGTTCGGTTACCATTGGCCACCTTTCCGTAGTGTGCGCCATCTCCATCTACACACCATTGCACCAGAGTCCAAGATGGGGCTTATAGCTCGGATAATATTCAAGAAGGACTCCTATTGGTTTGTTTCGGTATGTACGTTTTGAACTATAATTTATTTTTATTCACATTAACTTCATGACATTGTCGCATTTTGCTGTTTGCAGTGGCGAAGCTAGGGCTCCAAACTAGGGCAAGCCCAAGATATGGTTTTGTTGTTTTTAGCAGTTTAATAAAAATACACCAATCTTGAGCTGTCTCCACTCTTTAGTTTCATATTCAGTGCTGTCAAGGACGTGTTTAACAAAGCACACAGAAAGCATACTACCGCTAGATAGATTGTATGACATAATATGCAATTGCACACCTTTGGTGGTTTTGAAAAGAGCCGTTTGGGTTTGCTTGAGATATTTACAAACAATACATTACACTAACAAAAGAAAAGCATGAACAAAGTACAAACAAACTATGTACAAAGTTAAAAAAGGGATCGCGTGGGAGACAGATGTGAAACCTCGAAAATATTTTGTTTAAGTTATATGCATAAAAAAAACAGATTACGACAGGAATTAGATAGTTATAGAAGATAAGTTAATTTTTTACCACAAAATAATGACTATTTATTATATAATTATTCATTTTCAATTTATAATTAACCGTACAAAATGATATTCAATTCATAATAAACCGTACAAAAATATGATTTAAACTTATATGGTAATATAAATATTGAATTAGCCGATAGCGTATTTGTGCTATCTAGCGTAATCTTTAGGTACCATCTTGACAATCAACCAATTTTCGTTCGATAAAATGACTTTACCTGTAGAATTAAGTAGATGGCGCTATTAAAGTTTTATATACTGAAAATAACTAAAGGGAGTATTCTTTAAAAACCTCAATACATTCTTCTGTATTCTTTTTATTTATTACATTAAAATTTGGGCCTCACATTAAAAAAAGATAGTAACACTTATTTCTTATAAAATTAAACCTAGGTGTGTCATATTTTATGCTGCCGTTCAAAATGATGTTTTTAATTCATATGGTAATATAAATATTGAGTTATTAAACCTTTAAATACGCCTAACTTAATTAAACTTTTAAAGTATGAAGAAATGTTTATTGAATATTAAATTTCATTTTTAAAGATTTTTTACCTTTTCCTCGCCGATTAGCACTTCAACACACTTATATTCATTACAATGAACACTATTATTTCTCCCATTTTCACTGAAAATATTTAAAAAAGGATTAATTTTTAACAAACACAACATAAACATTAAAATGTGAAGTGAACTTGCGAACGAATGGCCCGCACCCCATTCGCTAGTCGCTAACGCACTTCTAAACAACTTCATGGCAAAGCCAGGCTTGTGGCTAATAAAAATAAAAATAGTAATTGCTAAATAAACATTTCGTAGTTATATTTCATTAAAGAACATTTTGCCACAGGTTAGAAAGGGAGCGATCGTCTTCTCGAAAGCCCGGTAAAAAGCCCACGCGTGCGAGGGAGAAAACCAATCGCTCAATTTAACTCTACTTATATGCATGACAGCAGTATTCGTAAGGCTACGAGGTCAAACAGAGTGCGCGGGAAATTTGAAATAGTTTGAAACAGTTAACGAGTTATTTTATTACTTGATATAATTGATTGATTCATCTTAATGAGGCAAGCCGGGCTTTTGTGATTGTATAGAGGCTTCGCCACTGGCTGTTTGTACAACCGACTTCATTATAACAACTTGTACAGAATTTAGGGTGTATCATATGTGTATACTGAACATATCTGCGTACCCCTTTAGAGGGTACGGGTGTGATGTTATGTTGAGTGATTACGTAAACAATGCATAGATATGCAATAACAGCAATCGCAGTTAATTTGCTGGCATGTCTGTCTCCGACACTCATCATCAGATCCTTACGAAATTACTGGGACTTTTTCGGAATAAACCTCTTTCGAATAAAGAAAGAATTTGCAAATCCGTCAACACCCGAATTGAGAACCTCCTCTTTTTTGAAGTCGGTTTAAAATGATTACGTAATCAAATGCAGTGAAGTTATCTGTAAACACAATCCTATATTTATTCTGTGCTGTGCATAATGTATTTACTAACAAAACTTTTTTTATTTTCAGCAAGAATATGTAGAATCAAGGATATGCTCGTGAAGCCGCAGTTAGAAAATTATTTTATTGTTTGTAAATTAATTTAAAAGACCTACTTTAACTGTGGTACTAAGTGGCAATATACACGTATATGTGTACTATTTGATGATTGTAAAAAATATTTATAGAAGTTTTTCAACTAAACATTGTTTATTTATTATTTAATACTTAACTTCAAAACTTAAGTCAAACTATTTATAATTATAACTACATACTTGTTTTTGACTTGAATTGGTCGCACTAATGAGGGATAATATTCTTCCACTCGCCAGATGTCGCTAGTGGTAACGGGGGCCGGGGGGGAGGAGGAATTATTTGTTATATAGTGTTATTATCATTAAAAAGTTTTAATTAAATGTTTTTGGTTACTTACGTTTGGGGCAGCTTAGGGAGGGTTGACTTGTTCCTATATTACTTTTATTTTCTAACTTTTTTTATAGGATAATGGTGACAAATGAGAACACAGTCCACCTGATGGTGAGTGGATGCTGTGGCCAATAGACATCTACATCTGCCCTCGATTACGAATCGAAAGGCAGATGCGTTGTCACCCGTGAGGACTAAGATGGAATACCTCGTTACCAGTAAAAGGGGTCTCCGGTTCTCTACACCCACCATACGAAACACAGCAGCATTAAGCTAATATTTTACGCTAGTATTCTGTGAGAGCGTGGTCCATCCCCGTCCGGGCCGACCCATTCTTGCTACAACTATACCAATAATATAGCTACAGCATGGCTCTACCGCGTTAACTACTGTGACGATGTGAGTACACAGACATACTAGACTAGTTAACTTACGAACTTAATTACTACTGGGCTGTCTTTACAATTATACTTTGGTTTTTATAGTGTTGAGTATTCTTATGTCATGTAAGTAAATTGAGTCACGACGTGCTGGTTTTTTGCTTAGCAGGCGGTAGGTGACTTCCTCGTGGCACTGTGTTGAATATACTTAAGTCTGCTGTTATTTGTATAGCAGGCGAAGCTGTATGGTATGGTGACTTCCTGATTGCTTGACACGTCTCGGTAGGCATATGTAATGGTCGCCACACACGGTCAGTTCAACTGATCATTCTAACTTGATCAGTTCAAATTAAAACTGTTGATATTTTTTAAAATATCGGACTTTCGATACATCGATGAATAAACTTATATATAAAACTCCGATATTTATATATTTATAGATATTAATATATCGAAAATTAAATATTTCAAAAAATATCAACAGTTTTAGTTTGAACCGACCGTGTTGAACCGACGTGGACGCCACGTCCATAACTCCTCCACCCTCAGCGCGGTGACTGTTGCATTACATTCAGCGAAAATGTCACAGGGATGTCTACGTGATGGCGTGCAAGGTCTCGGTAGGCATGTGTAACTGGTTTCTAGTGTAAGTATGTATACTTAGATACAAAAGAATGCCTCAATGGTGTTTGTCTTCAATTTTTATATCTCCTAATTTAAAAATATCCGTAGTTTGGTTTGTTCCATTTCTAATCTAATCAATATAAATGTTTTACACGCGGTAGAGCCACGCTGCAGCTTTGCTATGGTTGCAGCATGAATCGGTCGGCTTGACAGGTGTAGGACTAAGCTCTCACAGAATACCAGCGTAATGCTGCTGTGTTTCGTATGAGTATAGAGTACCAGAGACCCTTTTTACTGAAAACGTGACATTCCATGTTAGTCCTCAGGGGTGACAAGGCATCTGCATTTTGATTCTCAATTGAGGATAAATGTGGATGTCTATGGGCCACAGTATTCACTTACCATCAAGTGGACTGTGTGCTCCTATGTCACCCAATGTTATAAAACAAAATAACCAGCCAGCAAAATACCAGCGTAACAAAGCAACTTTAATGCTGCTGTATTTCGTATGGTGAGTGTAGAGGAGGCATTCCATCTTAGTCCCTCGGGATGACAATGCATCTGATTTTGATTGTTAGTCGACGATAGTTCTAGATGTCTATGGGCCACAGCAACCATTTACCATTAGGTTGACTGTGTGATCGTTTGCCACCCTTATTCTATAAAATATGAGCTTTTTAAATTTCGCTAAGAATAATCATTTTTTCATTCAAATACTTACCCGTTATAAAATCTGACAAATATTTCCAAAGTACCAAAAAATAAATATTTTGGAAGCCATGGCATACGTTGCTAAGGTGAGAGTTCTACGTTACTTTTCGGTCGATTGCTACGCCCAAGTACTTCAGTGGAAAATCGTACTTCTTTACCATTGAGTTTCGGCGTTACTAATTTGTCCAACCGTCTCTTTTTGGTAAAGGGTATTATAACAATTTTATCAGCATCAGCTGATAAACTGTTATCCCCAAAACAGTTATGTATGGTGTTTAGGGTTCTTTCTATGATTGCCGATAAATAATAATATTATACTTACTAATAATAATACTCGAAAACTTAGAAAGGAAAAATATAACTTAAATTTACCCTCCTAACTCTCGATACAATAGTTATAGGGAAAAATGCTTTAATGGATTCCAAAATAATACATATTGTATCACATAAATATTTTTATATTTTATTCAAACTGGTTTACATAGGTATCTATATAAATTATTAAATTCTTGAAGATTGTTTCAAATCGTTATGTTTTACATTAACGCTAAAATGTATTATATTAAATATTAAACGGTGTTCCTTGTTTAATAACTTGTTTTATTTTATTTTCTTAAATACGGATCTGCCTTTCCCGATTTGGTAGACAGATGAACGGTCTCAGTACAAGGCTAGTCTGTAACAAATTGTAAGTCTACTCCAATCAGCAATGCAAAATGGTGGATTTTGCCTGCCATCAAAATATTGTTATTAGACCTGTTGCGAAATAGAAACCAGTATACTGGTCAATGCATTAATTGACGCCATATTGTATTTGCGTGCCGCCGCCATATTGTGTCGGATATCCCGCCATATTAAAACAATTTTTAATTGTGTGTACGCTGAATGAAACATGCCAGAATTTGTTTTTATTTATTCAAATACAAAAAATGGCAGAGCTTAAACAGTTAAATCTGTACGATGAAGAGAATAAGAAATCACTCATTTTTGTTACTGAGGAAAAGTGATCAAGAGTATGTATGATGTCATATACTGGCCAATGTTTTGAAACGAATCACCAATACGACGTCATTTGCATTGGCGAGTACACTGGGTTCTATTTCGGAACACAGGCTGGGTAGTGCTTTCGAGACGTCAAGGTTAAGCAATTTTGTTCTTAAAGTGCCTCCATCATAACCATGATGCACTTTTACGATAATATGAGTAGCTGTATATCAAGAAAACACTAAATAATCAATCTTACATTTCCTAAAAATCGTTTTATAATGCTTAGAAAAAAAAAACGGTTTAAAATTTTTTTACGTTGACGTCCGGATGTCTGCACGCTGTTTTGTATGTGGTCACGATAACACCCGAAAAATCGTCTTATCGAGACCGGTTTTTTTTATTAGCTTCAGAATTACATCAACTGGTTCACTATTACATATCAGTAGCCTAGAACACGTAGTCTGTTAATAAAACGATTTTCAAAACTAAGTTCTATAGCTATTAACTATTAAAAAATTATATTAATTACTATAATATATTTTTAGCCCATACAGCACACACCACATAATGTCATCATTCAACCTTGGGCTAGGAAGAAGTAACCACAAAGATATGGTAGTTTTGCTGTTGGTTTTCATAATCTGCTTTGGTGTTATTTTTGTATTTACCTATATGTGTACATGAATGAAAATTATTCCTTTTTAATATCTTCAATTTTTGCTTGAGGTTTGTATTTTTTTAATGTAATCTACATTCCAAAGATAAAATAATATTCCACATTAACGTTTCTACGTGTTTGAGCAGCTACCTGCAGCTAAATTATTTTTATATATTTATTTATTATATGGACAACAAAATAGATAACAATCAATATATATTAAAATTATATATATATATATATATATATATATATATATAAATATATATAATATATATATATATATATATATATATATATTAAATATATATATATATATGTGATCGAAGTGTACCACGAATAGATCGGCTCGACTGGGGATAAAGGTCACGCCCTCACAGAATACCAGTGTAGCAGGTATATTGCTGTATTTTGCATGGTAATGGTAAGTGTAGAGAACCGGACACCCGTTTTACTGGATTCTAGGTATTTTACCTTGGTCCTTCTTACTAGTCGCAACGTGTCTACATTTTAATATTTAATTGAGATATGTAGATAGATATTCATGATTTACAGCATCCACTTACCATCAGGTTGATTTAGTGCTCGTTTATCATCTTTATTACATAAAAAAGGTTCATTGAAAATTTTATGGTGTTAGCAAACTAATACTTATTGAAACAAGTGGGAAAATTAAACATCTTGTACCGCCGACTTAAAAATAATTAAAGTGAGAACATCATGAATGTATTCGAAGTCAATTAAATACGCATTATTGAAGATCTACTGGTCAGATCCTAATTAAATTTATATGGGACCACACGAGAAGCCCTAGCTTTCAGATAAAAAAGAATCATCATAATCACAAAAAAAAAGTCGATAAAAGTTCGTTTAGCCTTGTACTAAAATAAAATGAATTTTCGTTAACAACAAATGGAAATTATTTGAGTAGGTACATTTTAATCAAAGTTTGGATATGGACGACTTTACGTAAATTAATATTCGTTTGACCATGTAGCGGCGGTATAAGAAGATCCAGTACTACCGAGCTGCAACGTAATCCTAATAACAACAAAAATAATCGAGATGCTTGAGGTATTTGTTACAGTTGCCAAGCATGGCATATAACTAACAAGCATGGTAAATATCCCCCCTAGAAGCCAATCTATGGGAGAGACCCAAATAATATGTTCAGCTGCGAAGAGGTTAGGTTTACACACTAGCGTTTGACGAACCTATATTAAGCAATATAAATGGTGCGCTAATGACTAGTTTCTTTTGAAAATGCTATAAAATAA